ACACACACACACACACACACACACACACACACACTCACACTCACACTCTCCTGCTTCCGTAACTTCCACTCCAATTCCTCTGAAGAAGTGGGTTTTCCCGTCAAAAACTTATGCCCTAATAAATCTGTTAGGGTATGTCTAAACTACATCCCTTTTCGATAAAGGGATATAAATTAGACGTATTGAAAGTGCAAATGAAGCAGGGATTTGAATTTCCCGCACTTCATTTGCGTAATTGCGTCATGGTTCTTCTTCGAAAAAGCACCATTTTGAAAGTAAAACCACGGTCTAGACACGGTTTTTTCGAACACAGCAGGCTTTTCCGAAAGATCCTGTAAACCACAGTTTACAGGATCTTTCTGCAGGCTTTTTCAAAAGATCCTGAAACGCAGGATCTTTCGAAAAAACCTGCCTTTTCAAAAGAACTGTATCTAGACCGCGGTTTTACTTTCAAAATGGTGCTTTTTTTTAAAAAGCGCCATGATGCAATTATGCAAATGAAGTGTTGGAAATTCAAATCCCCGCTTCACTTGCACTTTCGAAGGGCCTAATTTACATCTCTCTGTCAAAACAGGGATGTAATCTAGACACAGCTTTAGTCTCTAAAGGTACATCTACACAGCAGCGTTATTTTGGAATAACTGATGTTATTCTGAAACAACAAAATGTGCGTCTACACAGCAAGCCATGATTTCAAAATAATGTTGAGATGGAGGATTTCTTACTCCAACTCCTATAATCCTCATTTTATAAGGAGCAAGGGAAATCTAAAGAAGAATGTTCTTCCTTCAACTTCCCGCTGTGTAGACAGCGTCAAAAGCTGAGTTAAACTATTTCGATTTCAGCTACGCAATTGACGTAGCTGAAGTTGCGTATCTTAATTTGACTTTAGCCCTGCTGTATTGATGTACCCTAAGGTGCCACAGGACTCCTCACTGTCTCTAATTTCTACATTACTATTCTTGTTTAAAAAGCACCATGCACCCCAATGGCAAGATAGAACTAACAATATTTTCACCTGCGGTACATTTATTTGCTCCTAATTAACATCTCAATTCCATTTTGCTTGTAATGAAATTTAGCAGTCATCTCTGGTGTTTTGCTGGAGTCAACAGGGACCAGAACATTACTATACTGAAATCCTTCAGATACATCTGTTGGAGGAAGAGCAAATGTATTGGTATTTTGGATTTTATTAGGAAAAATGTTGACAGGATTATTTCAAAATGTTAGAAAACCTGCAACACTGTGGCATTAATAAAAAATGTGATCAATATCTTGATCACCTTGTTAGTATATCATACTTTTCCTCCACTTATTTTTAAATTTTTGTGTTGTCTTCCCATATATTTGGAGAGCTCAAATAATACCTTGGATTACTGTAATATCCACTAATGAATCGTGAAAAAGGGAATATTCTCTTTAATATAACTCAGTACAAAGAACAGAATGTTAGAAATACTGTTCAGGAAACTACTGCAAGCTTATTTGGGAATGCAAAGACACCTATAATTCTCTATCCTATGCCAACTCAAAACAAAAATTTTACTATTACCTTAACATACAACAAAAAGGAATATGATATACAAGGCATCCCTGCTATACTTCAAGATATGTTCAAAAAAGTGGACATATAGTGAAAGGACAAAGTAGGGAATTTTTTTCCTATGGCAGACTTCTGTTTGTACAAATTGGTCTTTTTTTGTGTGTGTTACAAAAGAGCAGGGAACAGGAAGACTTAAAACAAAACAGTTCCCACAAGTGTCAACAACGCTAGTATAGAACCAAGAACCAACGTATAACAGGGCAGCTTATCGTGGGGATGCCCTGAGAGCAAGATTCAGGTAACAATGGTTTGGGACTGTCCGACTCAAAATGATATACTGAAAAAAGTGAGATCTTGGGTTTATTTATGACAGTAGGTTCAAGAAATGGAAATTACACATTTAAAGGAGGAATCTCAAATGAAGACATCGTGACAATCCGTCACTGGTTCTTCTAGAATCACCACCAATTCACAGTAATTTTTCGGGGGAAAAAAAAACTACTGTTGGATAACTACAGTCATCCTAGCCCCCTTCAAAGTCCAGACCAGTGGTGTAATGGTAATTTTAGAAGTGGAAGAGCTTAAGATTCAACTAGCAAAAATACCTGAAATCCAAACAAAACGGTAGTTGTCCAGAATTATGATTTTTACGACTAATGAGATCCACTAGTATTTGAAACAGAAGCAAATTATTTCAGTCTGATTATCACACTATATAGAGAGTAACCACAAGTGAAGCAAAATACCAGAAAGTAAGCCTTTCCCATTCTTTCATGTGCACAATATTCTAAATGCAAGTGGAATTACTGTATCAAAAATGTAAGAGTCTCTTAAACTAAGCATGGGAAGTGAAAGCATTGGTCAAAGAAAATGCCATTATGTAAAATGTACATTTTATATATATGTATATATATAAAATAACATTAAACTGAAGTCAAATATACTTTCTAGAGTTTATAGAATTCTTATACAAACCATTCAGCTGTGGAGAGGCAGAGAAGAATATAGTTAAATAAAAGTGACTAACTCTGTTCTCTTTGTAGCATTACCTGAAGTCCCTCATGCGGCTTAAACTTACCTCTTTTACACTGTGTGTTACAGCCCACGTCAGGAAAACCCTTGACATCACTTGGAAAGCAGTCAGGACAACAGAAGAGGGAACAATGCCTGAAAGATATTTTAGGACTAATAAATACAGTAAAACTGACTATTTTAGAGAAAGAGATTTGCAAAGGCAAAAGGTTATTTAGCAAAATTCCAGGAAAACTGAACTTTTAGAACACAAAAGCATGAACTTCAATTTAGACTGTGTCCTATCGTGTGTTTGTACTAATGGGATGCCTTAATTGGGACATTGGGCATTATCAAAATATAAATAAGAAATAATCTGTTTTACTGAAAATAGCATGGCACAACCTTAACACAAAAGGAGCAAACTGGTGAGTAAGCCTATGTCTACACTAGGGATGTGAACGACTAGTCGACTATCCGATAAACAAATGTTTATCGGATAAACGGCTGCTTAAATACATTTAAAAGGCAGAGCCGCAGTGGGATTCGCTTCCAGGGCCGGGAGCTAACCCGACTGCAGCTCTCCTGCTTATCGACTAGGATGTTAAAAACAGATTCATCAACTAATCGAATAGTCGATGGAATTTCCATCAACTATTCGATCAGTCGATAAGGGCACTTCTGCTTTGAAATGTAGCAAGAGCCCGCCCGGCTGTTGCTACATTTCAAAGGCAAGAGAGCGGGGCAGCATTCTGCCTTTGAAAGTACAAGAGCCTCTGCTGGGCTCTTGCTGATCAAGACAGCAAGAGGGGGGAAGCAACTAGTCAACTAGTGTGTCAATTGTCCGATAAACTTCTGCTTATCAGACAGTCGACTAATTACTTACATCCCTATTATCTACTAGTCGACTAAACTAAACTAAATGTAACATCTCTAGTTCTAACCTCTGTGCCTCCCCTTACCAGCTATGGTTGCAACCTTTAGTTCAGAGTTTGCCGCCCACACTCAGGCAAACCTACTCACTCCTTCTTCCTGTTGAGGACACAGGGTGGGGTCCTGCCGCAGCCCGGCTG